CCGACACAGGGACAAGAAAATATTGAGGATAATCAAGTGGCTACTGCCATTAACCGATTTGAGAGAACAATGAACTTGAAAAATTGGAGACTTGTACATTAGTTTTAAAATAGGTATTTTTATGTTTAACTGTTCAAGTGTTAGATAGTTATACTATCGTTATAAGAATTTCTTGAAAATTTCACTTTATCGCGTATAAATCGGAGATACACGTTTTCGCGTGCGCGATTAATTGAGAGACTTTAGACCTTTATTTTTAAATCATTAAGAATGAATAATAATAATATGAATGTAAGTGCATTAGAGGTTTAGTGCATTAGTGCAACAAACTCGAGAGGAATCGAGCTAAAAACGCGGGCGTGCGCTCGGAAGAAAGAGTTGACTTTTGAATTAATTAGAACCACACATTTTAACTTCTCTTGGAAGTTTCATTTGCAGTCAAACTCTCTCTCTCTCTCATTCCAGCCGGCCACCAAGGAGAAGAAAAACAACCAAAGCTCTTTAATTTTCTTGCACCATTTCTTCACTAAATCTTCACCAAATCACCTCAAACTTTAACCACATTTTGCAATCTATTTGGAGAGCAACTCAAGCTACAAAAAGAGCTTCAAATCCACAGTTTTTCGTGAGCAAGGAGGACAGAAATTTTTGCCTTAATCATCTAAGAAAGTAAGTGACGATCAACCTTGCAAATCTTGACTTATGGAAGTTGTTTAGCACTTATGAGTTCATAATTTTTTATAAGTAGTTCTAAATTGTTGAAAAATTGGTGAGTGGGCTCTATGAACTCCCACTATGGCTTGATGGACTGATTTTGTGAATTTTGATGTTAATAATGTTGGATTAGTGCTTAAATTAATAGAAATGAATGATATTATGGATAAAGGTCAAAGGAAGTGAGGGGAGAATTTTTTAATTTCTACCCATGTGAATGCCGTGACCTTTAGAATATTTTTTTGAAATTCTATTGACTTGTTTATGATGTATATATGTTGTATGGGTTGTGTGGAAGGTTTCCACAAAAAATTACGTGATTTGGTTGGCCAAATGTGGTGATTTCGAAAGTTCATTCAAAACTGAAATTTTTCCCGTATTGCACTGGTAGTATTTTTCAAACAGTTATAACTTTTTGCTCCGACGTCGAAATCGAGTGCCATTTGCGGCACTGGAAATTAGACATTCCCAACTTTTCAACGGTATAAAATGCACATCCTGACTCCACCTGAGTGATCCGAACAAACCTTGTAAAGTTGCTTGTTCTGTTTCTCGTTTTACTAGAAGCTCTGTTTTAAGCAACGAGTTGATTCCCAAATATGAGCTAGTTGTGGACAGATTTTTATAACGATTTCTTCTGAGAAATTGTAGCTTTATGAATCTAGTTTTTAACGCCACCAACCACGCTCAATTCCAAGTTTAATTGAGTGAGTTATGGCCGAAGTTCGAAACTGAAAAACCCTCTTTTGGCTAGTTGATGCCTTAACCTTGATTGGGACTTGTTGTTTCGAAATTATTGGTGTTAATCACCTACCAAACACATCTTGGATGCTTCTTAGACATTGTCTACCTAAATGAACCAGATTTGAGATGTTTTCATTGGCCGAATATTTAGAAAAGGAAAATTTGCATAAAAAGATAGATTTGTCTTGAAAATTCGTGGGACTTTAGTGATTTTGTTAACCGACTATCCGTACGTATTTTCTATGAAATTTGACAGAGCAATAGCCCTTATATGGTAGTGTAATACTGCTAATTTTGGTGCTATTCCGAATCCGTTTCGATGTTCAACCAAAGTCCCAACGTTCGTGAATTAAATCTGGAATTTGGTCTAACGGTCTCACTTTTCAGTAACCTTGAGCTGCCATATCTTGGTGCTCAAAACTCCAATTCTTGTTCCGCTTATTTTGTTTTAAACTTTGATTGTAACTCTAATTGGGTTTCAAATTTGAGAGGCTAGTTCAAATTCTGTGAATTTTGCCGAATTTTTAAAGTTGGCCAAAAACCAACCCCGAAACTGCCTTGATAGCCTAAAACAGTAACTTTGAGCCAAATTTTGAATGTCTTCCATTTGGAATCATGGAAAAATGTCTTCTAGGAACTTTTAGTACTTTGGAAGAAGTTTCCAACTGTACCAAGTTTTCCAATTTTGGACTTATAAAGTGTGAGATACGATTTTTCAAAGATATCATATCAAAGCTGAAATTTTCGAAACTTAAGGAAATGGAGTTTTTCGAATTCTCCTTTTCCCTTCGATATCACATGATCGTTTTACACTTGAATTTAGAGATGAAAACCAGATTTCTCTTGTGCTTTAAAACCCCGCCTTTGAGCCTCAATTTACGAGTAAATAGGGCTCATTTTCATGAGATTTTCTTAGATTGTACTCTAGTACAATCTTCTTCGATAATTGGGGTTATGAGTGATAGATTATTATTAATTACTCAAGCACTCAAGAGGACCTTCAAGAGGATCTCACTGGAGACGCCTAACTTATCGCTTGTACTTGCTACTTGAATCACTCGGTGAGTGTCAAGTGTATGAATACTTGATACATGCTTAATTGTTATAGTTGATTGGAGATTTTGAAAATGGAGACGAGCGTGTACGTTATCGCACTCGTTCTCTGACTCATGATTAAATTGATTGAAATGGAACGAATGAATTATGAATGCTTGATTGAATGAAATGAAATGATTGAATGCTTGAATGAAATGAAATGATATGCTATGGCTGCATACGTCGCTGGAGTGAATCTCATCGACTTACAAATGTCAATTGGGGGACGCCCAATTCTCACTAGCCAACCTTGGACTCGAATCAGCATAGGTTTGGTCGGACTCCTTGGTGAACCATGAGAAAATATAAGATTGACCTACTGAGAGGTCTTGCTTGGCATACTCGAGCAGTATCGCCTCAAATAAATGACTGGCGGGCCCGGTATAGGGGTATGTAATGGTGAACGGGGACATGATAAGTGTGGTTCTACGGACTATAACCTACTCGATTGACGGAGTATCAACTCGTGGAGGTTCTTGATCGTGCAATGGGAAAATAGCTCCTGAGAGCTCCAATATCTTTGAATTATTTCTGTTTACTTTTCTTGCTCGAATTGTCATTTTCTTGAATATTATTATTTTACTCGTTAATTGGGATTGGTACTTGGACAATGTGCTTGCATGTGTGTTCTTGGTCTCACGAGCGATTGCTCACCCCGTAGATTTGTTTTCTTTAACAGGATTGGACTTGGAGTAAGACTCGAAGAAACCCATGCGATATACTTTTGTTTTAGGGTTTCAATGTATTTGACTAGACCTTTTGGTTGTGTATATTGGAACTGATGTATCTTTTGAGAACCGATGTAAGGATTTGATGATTGTTATATATTGTTAAATTTGAACGTTTCCGCATTTTGCTTACTTTACATCGTATTAATGGCTAATATTGTATTAAGCTTGAATGGAAAGTGTACCTAGTCCTGACAAGAACTGAGTAGGCGTCCCGCGGATACCTTTTGGTTCGCCTTAGGGAGAAGTGGGGGCGTCACAGTTAATGACACGGATGAAATATATCCACCAGGATCTGGTCGATCTACCATAGGCCACAATATGTGATGTAATTTGTATATTTTGGAGTACCAGGTGTTCTACACAATTTGGAAGGTCACACAATAATGTTTTCTAATATCTTCAACTTTATTATATACATATGGAATCTTTCCGATATAATAGATATCACTATTAGCCACTGGCCATTTGGTCCAGTGGTCATCACCATTAAAGGTGATGCTGGAGGTCAGGGGTTCAATCCCTGCCTCCCACAAATTTGCCATAATTTGTGGCGGTCTTAATTGACCTTCATCGATGGAGTCTGTACTCACATCGAACCCCCTCCCCTTCCCCTTAGACTAGGCTAGATTAGGTTATAGGACATCTATCGTTTCGACAAAAAAAAAGAAAAAGATATCACTACTAGAGATGATGAACAAAAGCTTTAAATTGTTTCAGGGTGTTCTAGGAAATGAACCTAAAGATGACGATTACTTAGGAAATATAGACACAATTTCTTGAATCCTTTTCCCTCATATACTTCTCTTATATTTGGACTTAATTATTTTTCCAACTAATTGCTCTTCAAACTTTCTATTGATCTGAATACCCTATTAACTAACAATTAATTGCGACTCATCATCCATGCCTTTGACTGTCATATTTGTCCAAAATCCATCTAAGTGTCACCAACAAAGCCTTTAAAACATTATCACCTAAGCTGCCTCAACCTGTTCTATTCTAATTCTCTTTTACTACCCATCTCCTGGAAAACTTCTGCCATATCTCTCCACAGCACTCAGAGGAAAAGTCTATTTTGTTTCAGTTTTTTGTATGGGACCACATGATGCAAATACAGTAAACAACAAACAAAATAGAGCAATTATACTCCTGTAGAATTCAGAAACAGCTGGATTTTCATAGACAAATTGAAAAGAAACACTTGAAAAGAAGTAAAATGGCCAACTTTTCTACACCTAGATGAGCTTAATGGCTTACACTAGCAGTGAATGCATCATGTTCTTCAAAATATGAAAAGAGACCACCTAACATCACGAAAACTTCGGAATGCCACCTTCAATCTGACAATGGAATTTCCATTGTACATTGTTTGTCTTACATAACAAAGTTCTATTACTTTCAGACAGTTAATGGGTCCAGGCTAAGAACTCAGAAAGTCTTGAACATAAACAAGCGATATTCTCCATCCTAAATAAGCCATTAATCGCTCTAAAAATCAATTTAGATAACTTTCTTCATATCATACATCCATGAAATACCCTGAGTGTTCTCATCTTCAAGACGTAAGCTCACAGAAAATTAAAAAACAGATATGTATTAAGTAACCCTATATAGAAGTGAATACTCATCTAATATTTTACTTCATGGTAGAACCATGTGCTGCCAACAATAATACAGAAGTAACAGATACAAAAGGGCTAAAAATTTAACTCTTACCACGTCCCCTTAACAAACGACGAACAGCTTCCAGTGATCCGCCCATACACAATGTAGTAGGAAAGGTCCTTTTACAATCCTAGAGAGAAAAAGGGGGACCCAGTTCAAACCAAGAAAAAGTTCAGAATTACAATTTAATTGGCTGACATAAAGGGCTGTAAGAACTGGAACAGTGAGTTAAAACTTGCTCTTCATTGTTGTTTTCACTAAGTTGATGATCTTCAAGTCTTACAAGCTGTTATTTCACATATTAGCTACAAGCAAACTCTAACATAGTACCCTTTACATTTTACAACATGTTGCAAGATACTGATTAAGCAATTGAAGTCATATAATTCTACAATAGAAGATATGTAACAAGTTTCATACTTTTAATATGTATAAGGTAAGTTTAAGATCAGTTCAACCACAAGAGCCAATTCAAATTTAAGAAGCCATACCAAGCATATGACCAACAATATGTCTATAGTCTACGAGTATTCCATCACCAAAACAGCAGCAAATAATTGAGATAAAACTATTTTGTCCTCTTTGAAAATTGATTTATTTACAGAGAAAGTCTAAAGTTAATTGTAGAAAAAAAATAGATTATTAATTGAAATTGAACTTGAAAGTAGGTGCAGGCAACAAAAGATGTTCCAGCTAGAACTGAGTATGAGGCATACAAGTTAGATAAGAAAAGCAATTTGCAACTGCAATCTGTGCCAAAACCTAAAGGACCACCAAAAGAAATACAGTATAATAATGTAACAGATATTAGATAAAATGGATGCTGGGAAGGACAAAAGTTGGAGCCTTTACGCTAAATTGACAAATCAAACACTAATACAACTCAAGCAACAATAGCACAGTTAGCAAAAGCTCTTCAATGAAAAGATCCGTAACATTTTTACAGAGCATATCACTATAAAATCTGATGCCTGACCTAGTTACAAACAGTCTGTGATCATAGACAGCTTTCTCCATCAACTATTCTTTAATACTTTTCTTGCATTAAGTATCGCACAGATTTCAATCATTACCCTTCCACGAATATCTTCCAATTAATGAACTCTTACAGTTCATAGATGCAAAATTACGTGTCATTTCTGCTTTTGACTGTAACTTAAAGAGGACAAACCTAACCAATAAAGCCTATGGAATGGAAGCAATAGAAACATCAAAAGTGTAAGGTTATCATGTTTTATAAGGAACAGGGGAAGCCATATCTTCAGGATAGAAATTTAAACTTTTAACAAAGAAGAAAACCATATGAACAGCTCAAAACTACCACAACAGTTCCCTTATCCGACTACCATATTGAAAGAATTTACACTCCATTTTTTCTCTTCATCTCTGTACAATATGTAACTATTTCAATCCTACAAGGCAAATCTTGAAACGTTAATCGCCTAATACTATTGTTTAGAAACAATTCAACCATCAGAGCTGAACAATTCCACATTCAAATCGAAACAAATTACTACAAGAAGAAAAATAAAATAAAAAATAACAGCATATTATATTACTACCTCCAAGCGATCAAGCAAATTTTCAGCCACAGCATCAACCAAAGAATCCTTTGGCTGCATCAACCATGCTGCTCGATCACGCTGTCATTATCAAATGTAAGGCTTTAACAAGGCCTCCACTACAATTTACAAGCAGTACAGATTAAACCACCCAAAATTCGAAAACAAAAAATTGAACAGTAGGACTAAGCAATTAAATACATCAATAAATAAAATTTTTCCATAGGAAATGAAAAAATGCTCAACTTGTTTCTGCTTGAGATGGCGGTCGAAGATTTTCACTTTCGAGCTCTGACCGGCGTCGTCTGCGAATTCGGTTGAATAAAGCCTTTTCCATATTCCTCCCCCTGCTAATAGGCGTCTCTGCCAATATTTGATTGAAGATGTTCTCATCTTTTATTTCCTTTTCTCTCTTCCCTTACAATTGATTTAAAACTGACTGGGTCGGGCGGGGTCGACTGTGTGCGGGTCCGGTTGCAGTAGCTGTGCTCCACTTAGCAACGCCTGGGGAAGGAAAAGAGACGACTTAAATCCCTCCAAGTTGCCGGACGTTTCCAGCTTTTCCTGTAATTTCAGTCCCCTACCTATATTCTTCAACTAGTTCGAAATTAGTCCTTTCGTTCATGCTTATGCTTTCTTTCCTTTTTTTTCCCCCTTTCTTTCTTTCTTTCTTTCTTTTTGTTTTCCTCTTTCCAATAAACATTTAAACCATTCACAAGTTTGTTCAGTCAAAATTTAAGTTCAGAGTCGCGTTGACCTCACTCTAGCCAAATTCGAATGATTAGATTACACATAAGTTCGAAAGATTGATAAGTACTTGGTTGCAAATCTAGAATACAATAGAAAGAGAAGGAAGAGGCAGAAAAAGAGGTGAATAACCTATTTTTATTTGATAATAGGTAATGGCTACAGGTTATAACAGGTTGCCAATTTTCATTAATGAGGTAGCGCAATATGATGAGCCGTCAGTGTAAAATAGGTTTACACTGACGGTGTAGGAAAGATAAACTCAAAAGGAAGCTTCCATAATATGTTTTCTAAATCAATAGTCAATTATGGAAACTCATATTGATCTCACTCGAGCCAAATTTGAATAACTAGCTTATTCGTAAGTTCGAAATGTTGACAAGCAAGTGTACATATATTTTTAAAAAACCTCTATAGCATGTTTTCTAAATTAATGATCAATTATGAAAAGCTATCATAAGAACAATAACAACGAGTCTTTGGGAACCTTTTTTGACCTACACATGCTACTGCTGCACAACGGTGCTTTAGACAACTTGCAACCTTTAAATAACCGTAAGATGATGAATAGCTATTGAGCCAGATGTTTTGGGAATTTGAAGGGGTCTAAAAAGAAATAAATATGAGCAAGAGAGGCAACAAAAAAGGGAAACCGTGGATAAGGGTGTAAGAAAAAAATATAAAAGTTGGATGCATTCTCATCAGACCAAACATATTAAGAAGGGTGTAACTTCTCATGGAAGCCAAGAACTGGTAAAATGGAAAGGAGTGCAATCGGGATAGATAACAAAATACAAATAAATGAGCTCTACTTAACTTGTATTATAATATAATACATATGAGAATACCACTTAAGAAAATGTAGAAGAAGTTGGAAAATTATATATTAAAATTATCTCTCATCCAATTATATATTTTCCATTTACCATTTGCAAAACAAAAAAGGAATATGTTTTCATTAGATTTAAGGGATAATTTCAAAAACCTCCCCTAAGGCTTCTAACTATTTCATTGACCGCCCTCCAAATTTTAAAAATTACACTAACCTCCCTAGAGATTTATTATCTTATAACATTAGGTCCAACTAACAATTAAAAGTAATATTAAGAGAAAGAATATAATATGATTTCACCATTACCCCTTCATCTATTAAATTGTATAATTAATCTAATACGTGCCCAAACATTAAAAAAAATTATAATTTGCTATTCATCATGGGATATTAAATCATATTAAATCACATATGGTATCAAAAATAGTATATCATTGTATATATTTTACTTAATGTAAAATATGAATTGCTCATTTTAGTTACAACCTGTTATCAAACATGATCAACAACAAATAATAAAAAAGAATGTAACCAAAATATTACCAAAAGCGAATTTTAATATCATAAAAATCTCAACAATTAGCCTTGATATGTTGACAAGAATATTTATGATGTTAAAGTTTGTTCTCTGTAATATTTGGTTGCAAATTTTTTGATTATTTGTTGTTGATCATATCTGACAATGGAAATGTAATTGAAAAGAATAATTTGGATCTTCTATTAGGTGAAAAATATAAAATCGTATACTATTTTTTGATGCTATATGTGATTTGATCCCTAATGATAAATATCAAATTTTAGTGCTTTTTTTAATGTGTGGGTTGGGATTAAATTAATTAAGTAATTTAATAGATAAAGGTCAATGATGGAATCATATTATCTTCTCTTTCCTAATATCACTTTTTAATTATCGATTGGAATTAAATGTTACAAAATAATTAATCTCAAGGGAGTAATTTTTGAAATCTAGAGGGAGGTCAGTGAAATAGTCAAAAACCTCAAGGGAGGTTTTGAAATTATCCCTAGATTTAAATGATATTTAATGGTCAACAACTAATATTTTTTTCAATTTTGATTTTGTAATTTAATTTTGATATTTGCTTCAATGCATTGATTTTACAATGAATGTTAAGCAATTTATTTGATGCTAACAGGGGTAAGGCCCACAAAATAAGAATGTTCAATGTTCATTCCTTGGCCTAATTGGTGACTTGATGTCATAGGGGCGGATGATGATACCAAATTTGTAACTGGAAGGGAGGTAAAAGTAATTTTTCTTTTGTATTTGCAGATTCTAATTGAAATTGTGATGTGGATACCTAGGGATTATTTTTTTTGTCATGTGGATACCTAGGGAAATTGTCTGTGGTAAAAGTAATTTTTTTTTTTTTTTGTATTTGCAGATTCTAATTGAAATTGTCATGTGGATACCTAGGGATTATTTGTGAAATTATAACAACATATAACAGGAAGATATTATACTTTTGTTAAATCTAGGGTAAATGAGCCTAATCACCTTAGTGTCTAAGCTTGTTTGATTTATTTAATGAATTTAAAATTTTGTTCGAACTTGACTTATTTATTTTGCTCAATTCAGCATTTTTCAAGTTGTCAACATTTTTCAAGTATTAACAAATAATAAAGCCAAATAATAGAAATAGAAAACATCATAGAAACTTCTAATTTATAATCAAGAAAAATAAAAAAGGAATTGGTGAATTATAGAACAAAATAAAAAAATGTCAATATTTTCATAATAGTAACTTTTAATATGCAAGCAAGGAAAATAATAAATTACAACACATGATTGGCAAGAAACCAAAAAACTATAAGTTGGTTGATCAAAATATATAATAAGGCATAATAAATATAAATGTATATAAGGCGGAAACCATTAAATTCATTAAGTATTGCTATAAATAAGGAAGTGAAAAGGAAGAGATTAATTGTTGCCAAAATTTAGAATATTAATAGAAAAATATCCAAAAATACCAACAATTATAGGTCCATGTAGTGAGCAAATATATAGTTCTTGGTTGATCAAAATATGTAATAAGGCATAATAAATAGAAATCCAAAAATTCATTAAGTATTGTTATAAATAAGGAAGTGAAAAGGAAAGGGATTAATTATTGTCAAAAAAATAGAATAGTAATAGAAAAGTACCAAAAAATACAAACAATTTATAGGTCTATGTAGCGAACAAATATATAGTTCAATGGGAAGAGGTTTAGAGTAGCTAATCAGCAAAACAATATATACGCATGTTTTGGCAAAATGGGAATTTTTAAACTTTCAAGTTTTTTGGTTGATAGTTGCACTAATACATATTAACTTGTTAAAAATTTATTCATTATTTTCTAATTTCATTGGTGGAAGCATGCACACTTTCTTATTAACAGTTGTACCAGTACATATTAACTTGTTAAAAATTCATTCATTATTTCCTAATTTCATTGGTGGAAACATACACTCCATAAAACTTAGGGTAAAATATAACAAACCCCCTGTTGTTAAGGTAACAGGCACGAAACCCCCTTATCGTTTGAAAAATCTACTTAACCCTCTTGTGCTTTGAATTTCTTTGGATTTTACCTACCAATCAGCCGGGAAGCTAGCAAGTGATGTTGACGTCACCTAAAGGTCGCTTGTGACTGAAAGAGACTTATTTATGGAATAAGATACTACTTTTCATTCTAATTTTGCCCTCCATATCACTTATAAATGAAACCCACCATAGCTGTAGTTTTGCAAATCGAAAAATTGGAAAGAGAGACACAAAACTAAGACAAAAATCGTAAGAACGTAGCTTTGGAGGGCACAAAATAGCTTTATTCAAGGAAGAAGCTAAAAATGTCAAACTCTCAAAACTTTGGCGGTGGATCGAGGAACCAAAGGTACCAATACAGGCGATGTTTTTGCCAAAATAAAGCAAAGATTAAGTTGGTGGAATCTAAAAAATAATCAGAAGATATGATGTACTTTGTATGTAAAATGGTGTTTGTTCATTTTGGGCATAGTGTAACCCAATTAGTAGAGAGGGATGCACTAATAAATAATCCTACTAAAGTCCATACATGGAAGAGGTTTCACCAACTAGATCTGCAACGCCGAAAAGATTTTTCAACTCTAGGCAAGGGATGGAAAGTAAAAAATATAACATCATTATGGGACTGCAGTTGAAGATTCACAGTGTGTAAAGTAATTATGGGGCTGATGAAAATGATGATGATGGTGTCTTTAGTTGTGTCTTTTTTGTCACTAGTTGTTATACGTATGAGATAAATGTTTTGGACAAATAGTAGTGTAGTAAATTTATAGTAGATGAAGAAGTTGGGCACAATAATAGATTTTGTTATGTCCAACTTGTTTTACATGTAATGAAGTACACATTCTAGTTTCAAGTAAGAAGAATGAATGACGCTGCGTTGTTTTATTGCAGGCAAACCAATGCTGTAATTTCGATATTGAATAATTACATGAAAAAAAAATTGAAAGACCTAAGAATTCACCGTAATAAACTAGTCAAATTAAACCATTTTCAGTAAAGATATCACCAGCAATACTACCACAAATGCCACAAAAAAGCAGCATATTGCCACATCCATACCAGAATGGTATCAGTTTACCAAAATATGGCCAAAAATTTGAGTTTATTAGTTTCAATAAATATTACAATCCAATCAAAAAAGGATCAATTTAGTTGGCATAACCAGTACATTCAACAAATAAAAAAGAGATAAGTGCAGTTCATTTTCTTGGTCTCTTGGAGCTAGAATATCACAGCCTTGACATACCTGCAGCTGGTTGCTTCCTCTTTAAGGATATGTTTTGTTGGCTTCCTTGGTTTCTACCACTTCTAGGCTGCCTTGGTTCCTGCATATAAGTGGCACTAGCTAGTAAGTAAATAGATCGCAGCACCCAAAAATAAGTAATTGAAAACTAGTACCTGTGAAAGTGTAATGGCAGTAGTACTTGAGACACTAGCCTA